TGTAAAAGTAAAAATTATATTAAAATAAAGAAAGTGGAGTATTAAGTGGAAAAATTGAAATTAAAATGGAAAACTAAACTGATAAATGGAAAAGGCGAAATTAAAATGAAAAAGTTGAATAACAAATGTCGAAATTAAAATGCAAAAAGTTTAAACATATTTGGAATTAAAATAAAATCACCACAATATAAACCGTAAGTGTAAATTTTAGCACAGGATATAAATAGTTCTCGTATGAATGTATATTTTTTATGTGATCGCGAAAATGAATTCTGAACCAACACAATTTAAAATTTATTTCTTCGTATTCAATAGTTTCAAATCGTGAATTCATAATTCGATTGTCGATATTCTGTCTTCCACCAGAAACCGAAATAATGCAGGTTGTTGTCATCCGATTAACTGCATTGAAATAAATCGGCGTTGAAAAGCTCGTCACTCTGAAGCAAGGAGACAGACGTATCAGCGGAGGAGGCGTTTGTTAGCCAACAATTGGCCCTTTGTAAATTCGAGGAGTGGACAATTGCCTCTGAATATGAGCCGGTCAATAGGGGCACCATATAAATTGACCTAGTGCACATAATGCGCCCATATCTCACCCAATAATAATTGACAAGTTACCAACGATCCTACCGGAGAGAAAACAGCCTTAGCAATTAACAGACGTTTTCTATATTTCTTTCCGTTGTCTTTTACTTGGCAACCAAGCGATATTAAACTTTTCTACTATTTTCTGTCATTTCAAATTATTTACAAGTAATCCTCATTAAAAGGAACAACTAGTGACAAAATTTATTGGAAAAGATTTTTAGTTGAGATAAAAAGTCAGTGTCACGAACGGGATTCGAACCCACGACCTTCGGCTAGATACGCCTCTGCTCTACCACTTGAGCTATCGTGACTTCGATCCACTCAGACACTAACCTCCAACCCCACCTTTTGAATTTTCCCTCCTTTTTGCCATTCTTCAAATGTGTAATCTATTTGATTCTCGGTGACAAATGAAATAGCCACGGAGAGGTTTAGTGAAAGTATACTTTTACTTATTAAATTCACTAGTTTTCGTGGTCCGATGTTTATACAGATGACATCCTAACCGGAGTCGAACCAATGACCTCCCATCGCCATCAACTAGAAATCTTGCTCAAGGCTGGTGGTTTCTAACTTCGAAAACGGCTACCTTAAATCCCCATCCATCCTCAACGGTATCCCGGGTGATCATCACAATTTGTATTCAGATGCAGGCCCTCATACTCTGGATAGAGACCCAGTAGTGAAAATCCTCGGTCTCAAACGGAATCCGGATACTGACATCTTCGCGTACAGCGTCACCTCCTCCGATGAACTTTGCACCAAACATTTCATGCTATCCCAAACCGTTCGCATCTTCGATCCTTCTGGATGGCTCGGGCTAGTTACTTTCCGAGCCAATTGGTGCAGTCAGTTTTTGTCCAACACTGGAAATAATTTTATTCAAGAACTTCTTTTATACTTCTGTGAGACCCAATGGTGAAAATCTTCGGTCTCAAACGGAATCCGGATACTGACATCTTCGCCTACAGCCTCACCTCCTCCGATGAACCTTGCACCAAACACTTCATGCTATCCCAAACCGCTCGCATCTTCGATCCTCCTGGATGGCTCGGGCCAGTTACTTTCCGAGCCAATTGGTGCAGTCTTGCCTAACACAGGAAATAATTTTACTCAAGAACTTCTTTTATGTTTTTGTAAAATAAGGTCGAGTCAACTATATTTCGAACGAAAATCAAGGGAAGCTGCCTGGAGGTGTTATTTTTTAAGTTTGCAATATTTGATTATATTTATTTTAATTAGTCTTGCATTTCGTCATCGTCATCTACAGCGCTAACTCCGAATTTATTTGGCGATATAAAATTAGTATGTTGTATGTAGTAAATCACTGGAGTATAGGGAAGAAGCTCTTCTATTAACTTTTGTCAGATGTTATGTTTAACTTATACGTTCTACGCCGATCATCAACTTCTTCGTGCTTTGTGTTCAAATCCTTCACTTGAAAATTGTCTGGTATTGGGTCACTGTGTGATTGATTGGATTTTGATGAGAATTTAATCCGTCCTTAGTGGTTTCGTATTTTTTAAAAAATGTAAAGCATGTCTTTAATCTTTCGTTGCCTAATGAACAACGAATTTAAAACGAGTACGACTAATGTGATTACATAAAGACAACTCTAATAGTTAAGAATCATGGTTTTATTAAAAGTTACCAGGACGATAGGGGCCTAATTAGGTTTGTGCTGCTTAATTTTCAGCTGACAAAGATAAAGATTAATTCTTGTTTACTTTGGTGTCCTTTCGATTTTATCTCCTGGAAATGGTAAGATTTGTAAATCCCTCAATTTTAATTGACTCGTACATTAAACCTCAATACTAGATTATTCAGTTTGGTCCAACATTATACAATTATCGAGAAAAACTATAGACGTTGGACATTAGACTCTATTGATTTCATCTCGGCCTGTGTGGGATGACGTAATACTACTTTCGCTAATTATCGTGCAATTAAAGTTAACGAATTAAGTGTCCTACCAATTAGGAGGAGGGCCGCCTTTAAGTTCGAACCGCAGGTTTCCAATTTGTGTTTCTTTTTCACGTAGGTTGTGCTTTTATGCAACGGCCAGCGTATAGTGGATGAAACTTCCTCCCGGGAACCGACGGCCCGTATCTTTGACCTCCGAAACGTCCGTAAAACGTTCCCGGTCGGAAAAAATTATCAAACGTTGGATTATCTCGAATGGTTGAAAATTGGCTGTCGGTTTTTGTCTGGATCGTTGTTGAGTTAAACCAACAGGTTCTGACCAAGAATCAAATTTTAGTTGGGTCGTTTTGATCTCAGTTCTGGAAAAAAGACAGGTTTTTTGTAACTTTGTAACTTGAAGCTTATAACTTCAAACTTAAACTGAAATCTGGATATGGTTCATCACCTCCAAACATTATGATTTATATGCATTCATTCAGCTTGCCATATGAAAATTGGAAAAAAAAATTATTCTGTTGACCATCCACTGATCCATCTACTTATATATTTTGTATTATCAGTTTTTTTTTAATGTGATAACGTTAATCAATGTAGTAGATAATTACAATTAGAAGAAACAATTTAGATAAGATTAAAGTCACCCTCACCAGTTTCTACACGAAGATAGGTTTTTGTAATAATAAGAATAAGCTTTAGTGAAGATATACTTCATTTTAACTTTGCTCTTCACTAGTTAATTAATTAAGGTTTTTAGTTGAGGTAAAAAAGTCAGTGACACGAGCGGGATTCGAACCCACGACCTTCGGCTAGATACACCGCTGCTCTACCACTTGAGCTATCGTGACTTCGATCCACTCGGCCACTAACTTCCCATCTCAACCCACCTTTTGAATTTTCCCTCCTTTTTGGCATTTTTCAATCCGGGTTCGAATCCCACTCGTGACAATAACTTTTTTATCTCAACTAAAAACTTTAATTAATTGAAAGATATTGATTGGTCAAGCGGACCACGAAAACTAGTGAATTTTAATAATAAGATAGGTTGAGAAAAAAAGCATTGATTTTTGTCCATTTCAACAATTTAGATTTCCTTTTATCTTCCTCGAACTTTACCTAATTACAATACATGCATCGATAAAAAATTGAAAATCAAAATTAGTTCTTTATTAATCTCAATTGTTGATAAATTGTTGAAATATTAAATTTAATATTTAAAGTTTGGATGATGGTTGTTTCTCATCTGACTAAGTGATGAAAACAAAGACATTTTAGTTTTTATGTTTTCGACTCAGACCCACTGATGATCACAAAAAACTGAATCGCACCTGACCAACCAAACTAGATTATACAGGCAGAATAAAATTACCAGAAATGGCCAAACTACAGGTTCATCACCACATTGTCTCCTAGAGAAAATCTCAACCTTTATTTATTTTATGATTCTTGGCCAAAATTAGGCAACCTTTTTTGACAAAATGTCCCAAGGTTGGCTTTATGTGTGCAGCTGGTCATGACACCATGTCTTAATCCTTTTGGGGGATTTTTAGGTAGGTGAGATTAATGAGTTGAATGGGGTGATAATTTGGAGTAGAATTTGACATCAGGTTTTGGTGAGATATTGTAATCATATTTTTGCTTTTTTTTTTAACCTTTGAGAATATAAGTAGTAAAGATTTTGGCCTATAATTTGTGAGATTGGATTTATCACCTCCCTTATGAAGAGGGAAATCACTCGTTTCAACAATTGCAATACTTGACTCCAGCGCAAAAATTAACAAGTTAAGCTAAAGGTTCAGCAGTCAGATGCCCTAACCTCTTTATCCCTGTGATAGATAGTCCATATATGTTAGTAGCATTACTGTTTCTGAAGGTGAATTGTTTGGAGGACTTCATTTGATGTAGTGAAAATAAACTGTGATCAGTACTTACCAATTTTAATTTCATCATCGAAGTCACGATAGCTCTAGTGGTAGAGTAGCGGCGTATCTAGCCGAAGGTCGTGGGTTCAAATCCCTCTTGTGACACTGACTTTTTTTATCTAACTAAAAACCTTAATTAATTGAATGATATTAATTGGTCAAGCGGACCACAAAAAATATTGAATTTAATTAATTAAAATGAAGTATACTTCACTAAAGCTCTCCGTGGCCATTTCATTTGTCGCCAAGAATCAAATAGATTGTACGACATTTGAAAAATGGCAAAAAGGAGGGAAAATTCAAAAGGTGGGGTTGAGATGGAAAGTTAGTGGCCGAGTGGATCGAAGTCACGATAGCTCAAGTGGTAGAGCAGCGGTGTATCTAGCCGAAGGTCGTGGGTTCAAATCCCGCTTGTGACACTGACCTTTTTATCTCAACCAAAAACCTTAATTAATTAAATGATATTAATTGGTCAAGCGGACCATGAATAAAAAGTGAATTTAATATCATAAATAAATGCTAGTATATACAACTTAGTTTTGTTAAAAACAGTAAACTTTGTTTTAGGTTTTGCTGTTTCGGATAATGAAAGGCCTCCAATTTTCAAAAGCATACCTACAATATTCAAAACACGAGAGCACGATGTCGTATTGATGCCATGCTATGTAGAAAATTTAGGTGAGTTTGGTAAAACTTGTTTGTACTCTAATTAGTGTACATGGAATTCCACGTAAAATTGTATAATTGCAGGTAATAGTGAGATCAAATGGTTGAAAGATGATGAGCTGATCGCCGAAAATGGTCAATCTTACAGGGACAATGTGGTGCTTCGTAAAGACAACTCCTTGGAAGTGAGCAATGTCAGCTCTCGGGACTCTGGCCAATACACTTGCCAGGTTGTAAGGCCAGATCCATGGGGCCCAATAAGCCAGCATCATGGAATACAAGTGCAATGTACTATTTAAAACAGTTTTATCGTTATTAATTGCATAGTAGATTAGTTAAACTTTTACATGACATCAATCAATATTTGATACTGGTTTGATCATTTCTGGTCCGCCTGTAAGTTTGCTTAAGTTAAGATCACCCATGTAGTTTCAGCAATTTAATTTTCAGTTCTGTGCCTTGCATAATTACTGATACACATCACTTTTGATCATTTGAAAAACAGTTTCATATATTTTTTCCACATTGCATTATAATCCAAACACCCTACTCTATATTTATATGGACAATTTATTTTTATCTTGCAAAATTCATTCTGATTTGTTTTTCAAAAAATACCTGCTTTCTATTAATATATTGCCCAAGGCATTTTTATTTAGACAGTTTTGTTTTGTTTATAAATGTTGGCTATACACAAAAATATTCCATCATCGGCAAAAAGATTTGTAAGTCATGAACAACTCCATTTCTTTTAATTAATACATAGGTACATATTTCATTAATTGATTTCACCAAGTAGTGAACAGCACTTAAAAAAAGTTAAACCTTTATTTTTCATATAGTGGAGTTCTCACCCACTTGCACCATATGCACAGCATGATTTTACTTTCTTTTAGTGAAATTCGCACTTAAAATTTGCTAAGTGAAGTAATTTTTATTTTGTTGCAAGAAATTTGTACAAGTTGTATTTTTCACATCGCTCCTTATTAATGTTGTTGGTTACAATTTCTATCATTACAAAATGCACTCAAATATCTCAGACCAATAAAAAACCACAAATTGATAGTGGTAATCTAAAGGCTATATCTAAAAGTTTCCGTTGGTAAGTCATACATTTAAGGCATGTTCTTATTATTCAACGTTGGTTGATCAATTTTAGTTAATAAATAAAAGATGAGAGCCTCTTGAATCAGTTTTTGTTCATTGTTTCAGTCAAAATTGATCAATTTTTTATTTGCAAACTATTGGCTGTTTTTTTATATTGATCTAACAGTCTTAATTTGGTTTTTCTAATCAGTAATAATAGGTTTGGCAATTTTCATTTTTTTAATTATTGTTATTATAATACCTAATGCATTTCTCTCTCATATTGATTTATACTCATCGTTATGTCATTATTAGGCAAGGGTTTCATAAAACACAAATTTCAGCACCATTGTACCCAAGACACTACATAGAATTGCCTAATAATCCGATTCAAAAGCATACATTTTTTGCAACAATAAATTCAGCAACTCCAATAGTCAATTTTAGCATTGCATGCCAGGTTGAGGATAACCCCAATTCCCAGATCGAACAAATCCACCTTCACCCAATACTGGTTAAAATTTTGAACGCTTCCTCCTCAGAATATTAATCCTCATATTCAACTTTCATAATGCAATCCCCATCCATCAATTTGGTTTTAGACCATTCCATTGTGCTGTCCATCATGTGTTATGAGCACTCAACACAATATGTGTCCTATAAAGTCAGCATTATTGCTCAGCGGTTTTTCAGACAAAGGCATTTGACAGATTGTGGTATCCTGGTCTCCTTTTCAACTTGAAAAATATCCTTCCTCTCTGATCGCTTGTTCAAGGTTAGGATTGATTCTGAATTTTCAGACACCAAGTCCATCAAGGCCAGTGTTCCCCCTAGGGAGTAGCCTAGGACCAATCTTCTACACAGTTTACACCACTGACTCCTTCGCGAACGATTGCAATCCTCTCCTTACGTTCCCTATCCTTTGCAGCAAAAACAACTCAAGATAACCTAGACTTCATTACCGGCTGGTGCTCTGGGTGGCAGATCAGGGTGAATGAACAAAACACCAAAAAGTAATAAGTCTAATAAAATAAGTCAGACTTTTCTCCAACCATAATTGCATACTATAACATTGAATTACACTCTTAACAACACTTCAGTAAAAGTGCTATTAGCATTACATTCATGGCTGTAGAACGTGATCAAGAAGAAAAAGAATCAACCATTATTTGCATATTAGGCTATAATATATGGGCGGATCAGAGGCAATCAATTTTGATGTGTTACTTTAGTTGATCAACTCGAAGACAACTTCACTATTCAATTTTGTTTGTTTTGGTGATAGTTCCACCGTCAGTGAAGCTTGTGCCAAATAGAAGGGAATTGGAAGTGGAACTCCACCATGAAGTAATTGTCAGGTGCGAGGTCGATGGTGTACCTAAACCATTCGTGAGATGGCTATTTCAGGTTTTTTTTTTACTCTGTTATTATTTATTTTTTCTTTATAATTTTGGTGGCGTTGAATGACTGGTGGAATGTTCCTTGTGGGTAGATTGAATGAAAATTAATCGGGACTGTCTTTCAGGGAGAAGAAACGTCGTACGATAACAACTTGCATTTTTTTGCCTCTGATGATAGCTTCAGCGGAGAATATGTTTGCATTGCTACGAATGGCGTTGGCAACAGTGCCACAGGACATATAGACATCAAAGTTGTCTGTACGTTCATCTTAAAAATCTCATGACTTTAAATAACCATTAAACTTAAGATATATTTAGTTTTATCTGATGATGAGAATTAATGAACTTAATTAAAGTCAGTTTGTATAATTTAGGTTAACGCTAAACATAAATGTTTTCAGTGCCCAATTAATGGCTTTTTTAAAGTAGTTGAGAATTTATGTTAAGGTTAGTTGGATAAATCATAATTGACAGTCTTGAACATGAACAATTATATTTGTAAAAAATTATTGATTGTAGTTCTGTTTCGGTGTAATTGTTAATATCATAAACTTTGAAGATTGCAGATCTTAGTGTGGTCAAATTGAGCTAAAAGAAGACTGTTTTTGTCTGGAGTTGTTAATTTTATATACCCAGATCAGCAATTTATAAAGAAAAAAAGAAAAAGTGATTGATATATCAAACTGTTTAAATAAGTAAACTATAAATTATACTAAAATATAATTTTTGCTGATTCAAAGAATAAATTTCAATTCTCATGAGTAAATTTTTTTAACACTAACAAAAGTTACCAATTTGACAATATTTAAATTTTAATTGTAATATTTTTGGAAGCTGAATACAATAGAAAGCATTTGTTTGATGTTAAACATTGATTTGATACAATTGATAGAAATACATAAAACTGGTTTGCTTTTATTTTTTAATTTATTTAATTTATTTATTTTCTAATTAATCACCCTAAATAACATAGGGTTTAACGATTATTTGGAGACCATGAGATGCACTCTGGTGTGACGTAGGTTTTAGAAAAACATTTTCTTTATCGTGTCAACATTTTGATCTTTACAATTAATTAAGGTTTTTTAGTTGAGATAAAAAAGTCAATGGCACGAGGGGGATTCGAACCCACGATCTTCGACTTGATATGCCGCTGCTCTACCACTTGAGCTATCATGACCTCGATCCACTCGGACACCAACTTCCCATCTCAACCGCACCTTTTGAATTTTTCCTCCTTTTTGCCATTTTGCAAATGTCATGTAATCGGGTTGGATTCTCGACGACAAATGAAATGGCCACGGATTAGTGCCATTTAGTGAAGTATACTTCATCGTACACTTCGTCGAGAATCCAACCCGATTACACGACATTTGAAAAATGTCAAAAAGGAGGGAAAATTCAAAAGGAGCGGTTGAGATGGGAAATTGGTGTCTGAGTGGATCAAGGTCATGATAGCTCAAGTGGTAGAGCAGCGGCGTATCAAGCCAAAGATCGTGGGTTCGAATCCTGCTCATGCCATTGTCTTTTTTATCTCAATTAAAAACCTTAATTAATTGTAATATATTAATTGGTCAAGCGGACCATGAAATTAGTGAATTTAAGTTTTGATCTTTATTGAGCCCTGAAGAAGATCTCAATAATGATCGAAATGTTGGCACGATAAAGAAAATGTTTTTCGAAAACCTTCACACCAGCCGCATCTCATGATCTCCAAATAATCATTGGCTAACGGTCACTAAACACCACTTTAACTGGGTTTAACTCTCAAGTCCAATAAAAATAAACATGAGATAGCATAAAGCTGAAATTATTCTGCTTAATATGATCAGGATGGCACAGAAATAGTCAGAAAAGATCAAAAAATGATGACATTTTTTTTATTGTTTTACTGATTTACGTAAGCTCAAATCTGTATATGCATGTACACATAATCACATATGGACAAGTTGAGCCTATCACTTCTTTTATAATAAATAACTGGCAGGCCGCAAGAATCACCCACACGCCCTTTTGTTTTTTCATTCTTAATAAGTTTTTAAAATCTTACAAAATGCATTTCACAAATGTTTTTTTATAAAGATACACTTGCCATTATATTAATTAATAGTTTATCTAATTTTAAATCTAGATCCTCCTGCTGTGAAAGCTGAAAAAATTTTGTTGCATTCTGCACCGAGAGTGCAGTCTGTGTTGACATGTGAAATCACCGGCAGTCCTCAGCCTGAGGTAACCAACTGTCCCAAAACTACAATTTCTCGGTCTGTAATAATTTCTTAGTGATTTCTATGTGACAGGTTATTTGGTATTTTGCCGGCCGTCCTATTCCAGATGATGGATTCTTCCTTCAAATTAAACAGGGAACAAAGTACAATTTGGTCATCAAATCCACCAAAGAGTCGCACTTTGGGCATTATAAATGTGTTGCATCAAACAAACTTGGAACAGTATCTCAAACTTTGGAACTCTCAGGTAGCATCAACAAATAAATAAGTTTTTGCAATTTTATACACATCTTTTTTTTTTAAATTCAGGGTTGCCAAACACACCATTTTTTAAGAAAACCCATCAAGATGTTTACCCAGATAAAGCAGTTTTGACATGGGAAGTTGACAGCTATTCACCAATTGTACAGCATAAACTATTTTTTAGAAAATATAATGTAAGTCTGATTTAGATATTTAGATTTGTTGTGATTTTATTTCACATAATTTTTAGATCAGTAGCAAAGCGGATAACTGGACTGAAGTATTTGTGCCGGCGGAATTCACAGGAGGGCCTATTCACACACAGATGTACAATCTTAACGGCCTCGAACGATCTTCAGTGTATGAAGCTGCTGTAATTGCCAAGAATAAATTTGGTTGGAGCAGTTATTCAAATATTTATCTGTTTGCCACCGAAGGATTTGGTAAGATATTGTCAAAGTACTTTCACAGTACGTATTGAGATATTTCTATCTGTATGATCTGCAGGGAAATAGCCGTGTCATTTGGTTGCTATCATTGCTGGTTTGGTATGTCAGATGCATTTCAACATTTTGCCATTGTAATATAACATAACCCAGGACCAAAGATAGTGAAATACCCAAATTCGTATGACAGACCAAAATAGTAAGAACAGGCAGGCCAAAATAATTGGCTGAAAAAATTGGGAAAAGCAATATTTAGCATATATTGCATTTAAAATTAATGCATTAATGCAGCAGTTCCTAAACTTTTTCTATTTCCAGCATCCTTAATATCTTAAAATTTTTTTGTGGCACCACATGTCAAAACTTTTTTATCTCAACTAAAAACCTTAATTAATTGTTTTATGATAATATTCAATTAATTAAGGTTTTTAGTTGAGATAAAAAAGTTAATGGCACGAGCGGGATTCGAACCCATGATCTTCGGCTAGATACGCCACTGCTCTACCACTTGAGTTATCGTGACCTCGATCCACTCGAGCAGTAACTTCCCACCTCAACCCCACCTTTTGAATTTTCCCTCCTGTTTGCCATTTTTCAAAAGGTGGGGTTGAGATGTGAAGTTAGTGTCCGAGAGGATCGAGGTCACGATAGCTCAAGTGGTAGAGTGGCAGCGTATCTAGCCGAAGGTTGTGGGTTCGAATCCTGCTCGGGACACTGACTTTTTTATCTCAACTTACAACTTTAATTAATTGAAAGCTATTAATTGGTCTAGCCGATCACAAAAAAATAGTGCATTTATGATAATAGTAGTAATTCATTTTCAGTTCAGAAAAGCAATGATTTATCTAAACCTCTTATTTTATTTGCAATTGGTGGGATCGAAAGGGTGTGATTTGTTATGAGCTTCTTCCACCCGACCAAGCCTTTAATTCTGTTGGCTAATTACAAGAGGATTGTTTAGAGTTTTTACTCGATTAATTTATTTTACAGATATGAGTGTGTTATCAACTACAGAACCTGAGGAAAATGTAAATACAGTTAATGATTTGTACTCAGGTGATACGACAACAATTATATTATTATACTCTAAATGTCTACCATATTTTTGAAAGAATTTAATTAAATTTTTGTTTTAGATTATGTAACAAAAAGTGATGAAAACAACCATGGAAGTACAAGATCACTTCTCGTGTTTGTGTGGTATTTATTAATTTTAATTTTCTTAGTGTAGACGCAATATTGAATGAAAAAAATATTTAAATAATTATATATAATGTGTATATTGTGATTACAGTTCATTTTTCTAAAGCGTTTCTTTCTAACTTATATGATTTGAAAGTACAGTTGAATGGCAGTTTTTTTATTTTCAATTCTTAGACTTTTTTTATAATTTAGTATCTCAGTGAAATGCAACTGAAAAAATGTAAATATTAAGCACACTTGTGTATATTTTTTCCAATTAAATTATATTTTTAAACTTATATAGATGATATTATGTAAATAAAATTATTATTTTTTTATTATTTTTTTATAAAAATTCCTTATATGTAATTCAATTATGTTTACTAATACAATAAATTATGGGTCTTCTGTGAAATTGCAGGAACATTAGAACAGCCCTAGATTCTGTATTTTATGAGTTCTTCAAAAACAATTTTAAATAATTTCATTGTAGACTAAATATACAAATATATATCTGAGGCAAGTGACAGAATTTCATGTTTAAGTCTGCAAAGAAAAGTTTAATTTTTTGTCTAAGTACAGATGGAGAATATGCAAACAAAACATTTTTCTAGTTTTCTTGCCAAAGAATGTCTACTTTAGTAATTTTTTATTTAAAAAAAAAACATGAGATAAAGGACTTGGATATTATGACTATTTGATTATAAGAACCCTCAGGGTGCGGACATTTTTAAAAAAGCCCATTGAATGCAGGGCCACTGGATTCGAACCCAGGACCTTTAACTCACAGGTCTTTATGAATTACAAACATTATTAGAAGCCATTGGTATTACAGAACATTGGATACGCTAGAGGATATATTGTTTGAATAATTTTTTAACATTATTGACAAAGAAAATGTATTTTCTGAAGTAGTTACTGATTTTAGTTCAGATCATCTGGATTTTTTTAAAATATTATTTTATTTATTGCTATCTGTACCAGGAACCAACCAGTGCTGGAACTGGGTTTTATTTAATTGGGGTGGGGGTGGGGGTTAAAGTTAATTCGGTGGGTTAGATAGTAGGTCACAAGGCCATCGTCATTTTAAATGGTGCGAATTAAGTAAGGAGGAAAGAGTTAGGGCTAGTGAGTTAGGGTGGAGGGAGAGTTTAGAATAGAAAGTGAAGAAGCGTGTCTCGATAAGATCTTCCATGCAAGGGATTTTAAGAGCTTTATGGATTGTTTGATTAATGACACAGAAGAGAGCATTGAGGATACGGCAGAGAAGTTTTGATTGAAAAGACTGAATTTGTGGGATATTGGATGATTTGGCCGAGCCCCACAGCTAGACTCCATAGGTCCAAATAGGTCTGATGAGTGTTTTGTAAGAGGTTAATTTGTTATGTATGCTTAGATTTGATTTTGGTCCAAGTAGGTGTCCGAGTAGTCCATAGCTTTTGTTAAGTTCTTGCCATTTTAATCGTGTAGGTGTTGCAAGTAAGTCTACTATCTAAGTAAAGCCCAAGCTAGCGGACTTGGTTCGATGGTGGTATTATCTTGTTGTAAATGTGCACTGGTGGACAGGTTTGACGTTTGAGAGTAAACTTAACTTGTTGGCTTTTTTGTTCGTTTAACCTGATCCGCCACAGATTGTACCAGTTGGTAATAAGGTTCGGGTGTTGTTGGAGTGCTTCTGTTGTAGGATAGGATTGGAGTGTGTTGATAAGATTGCGGTGTCGTCCGCGTAGGTTGTGATATGTGTGTGGATGTGTGGGTATGTCAGCAGTGTAGATGGTGTAGAGGATAGGGCCTAGGATACTTCCTTGTGGAACGCCAGCTTTGGTCGGTGTGATAAGTGAAAAATCGATGCCGATTCTTACTTTAAACCATCGATCTGAGAGGAAGGATTTCACAAGATAGTAGGAATGAGGGACTGATGATGAAACGAAAAAAATGATTATTTGCGAAAGGGATGAGAAACGGATCATAGTTCATGAATCATCACCTCGACGAACATTCTGTTGCATTTGAGGTGTACAAGCACGTGACAAACTTTTGTACGAGCGGTGAATCATCCTGCATAGATAATAGTTGAAATAATAGTCTCCGATATGGAGAATGAAATGATGATTGTCGAAATCTACTTAAAAAATAAAATAAATAAATTCCCCTGTTTTTTTGCGGTTATTTAACATAAGTTTTTATTCGTTTTAGGCTAAGTAGGTAGTGGAATATTTTTTCGTAATTCCAGTTTGATACCCTGTTAGTTTTATTTCCCAATCATCCATTTGTCGATTTAAGAGCATATCTGGACACAACATAGAAATTTTATTCATACATTATAATTTATGTGTGGTGATTAGTGCCCTGTGGATCGATGATTATTCAGAAATCGTAAGATGCGGTCTGGTGTGATGTAGGTTTCAGAAAAACATTTTCTTTATCGTGCCAACGTTTCGATATTTATTGAGATCATCTTCAGGGCCTGAGATTTACAGACATTGTTTAAATTTAACGAATACATGTAGGATGTGAAAAAAGGGAATTTATACAATACAAATAAATATTTTTTTATATTCAATCAAAGTATTTCTACTCACTCAAAGTGTTCGTTTTCTGCGTAATTGTGTCATTATTGGGTGTCGTGTTGAGAGTGCCAGTGCGATATTGCTGTTTTATGTTTATATATGTTGGATTTTGAAGGGGTTTGGGAAGAAAGTCGGTACAGAAAGACATTTTTGTATTAGGAGTCGGCTTCTTTGAGGTGAAAAGAGCCGACGATGGGAAAAAACGTTGGTAATAGTTCGGCCAGATTGTCCTTTCAGGATTAATAGGGACGGGGATAAATAGGAAAAGGAAAGCTAAATTGTTCGAAAAATAGACTGTGTAAAAATGTTTGATGTATGGAATGTGATGAATGTTTTATGTTATATTATATGTTTTGTGAGATATGATGATATATTTATGTTATCGACATTGAATTTGATTAATGATATTGGCGTAGCTGCGACTGAGTTTACATATGTCTGTTCTGTAATTGATTCTGTGTTTATTCTCTATTGATGTAAACCATTTCTAAAAAGTTACGTTTATGTTTTTTTGTCCTGTGTGTAATATTTTTGAATTGTTCTCAAAATCCAACGTACATAAACATAAAACAGAAAAATCTCACTGGCATTCTCAACACGACACGCAAGAATGGCACACTTATACAGAAAACAAACACGTTGAGTGAGTAGAAATACTTTGATTGAATATAATAAAAAAAAATATTTTTTTGCGTTGTATATATTCATTTTTTTCCACATCCTAAATGTATTTGTTAAATTTAAACAATGTTTGTAAATCCCAGGCCCTGAAGATGATCTCAATAAAGATCGAAACGTTGGCACGATAAAGAAAATGTTTTTCTGAAACCTACATCACACCAGACCGCATTTCACGATTTCCTAATAAACAATTTGGAAAAATATTGTAAAGACATTAATCAAAATAACGAAATAAACTTGGACGCCACGCCTATCAAGAACTGCCTAGCCAACATAATTTTCAACAGGTTTTTAATAATATTATTTATAGCATGTTTTATTCTATTAAAAAACAGCTAGAAAAGATATTATTATATAAAGAACATAAAAGTTCCTGAACGCCCAAAATAATATATTTTCAACGTATTTTAACTTCATTTTAATATCATACATTGTCCGTTTATAAACTATTTCAGTTAAGAATAACATAGTTCGGTTGTTAGATATAAACATTAATCAAATCCTTTCAAAAAGAAAAATACGTTATCAACCATAGGGAGCATTTATGAAATCCTTTAAATGATTCTAAACAATCAAAATTCGAGTATTATCCCGATGCGTAAACATTCCATGTTTTCATCGCACTATTTACATTCCGAGGGGCTAATCCCAATTTGTATCTTATTCTTTCGATAAGACGTAGCAAAAACATCTTATTAATCCGTCAAATGAAAATATAAATATCTAGAACGTTCAAAACTCTTTCAGTAACGCAGTTGTGCGTGCTGATGGAACACACGAAACAGTTCTAAGCGTCGAGCCGTCTGGCTTTTTATTTAAAGTAGGTTTTCTTCGTAAAACCATACCAAGTCTGATCTTCGTCATACACTACGTTTTCATATCTCGAACAGGATATGAACTATTATACTGCAAATGTTACACATATTTGGAAAACGAAATTCTACGAGAAATTAACCCGGCTTGTATGCCGATGTCTCGACTCAAATTGTTCGAAAAATTAATATGCTGAATTGATCCACTGACCTTTAATTACATCTAACAATATTCTTCTTAAGTGGTTCAATTTTGGAAATAGTACGTCGTTAGTGCAACACGCAAGTTTTGGGCATGAAACACATACCATCAAAATTTATATTTTAAAAAAATCCTTCGGATCTTCCTGGCTGTTACCGTTTTATTATCCACATCTACGATCATTTATTCACTTCACAATTTGAGAATTTTTTACACGTCCAAAGGAAACACAAGGCGTCATTTCATATTAATAATTATAAACCTTTATTAAAGCAAGTTGTAAAATATATTGTAATGTCCGAAAACACCCAAAATTATAATAATATAGACGATATTTTAACAAATTATGAAAAAATAACGAACACAGAAAATATTCATCATTCATTTTGGACTCAGATTAAATTATACGGTTTGTTTCAAAAAATGTTTATAAAGAATACACAACACACACTTTCTGATTTGCGCCCCAATTATAATTATTATTTATGAATTATGTTTTGTTCTAATTAAACAACAATTTATCCTGCGATATCAAGTTTTCAGTTTATTGACTGTAATGAGTCCTTTCTCGAGTCGATATCGAAACCAATTTATATTTGTTGTTTCTTTTTTAAAACTTTTCTTGTATCATTGCAAGAAGTATGATCATTTATATCGAGCTTATTGTTAAAACAATTTTTCCGAACTTGCACAACAGTTGCACAAATTTTTGTCTACAAAGTTTATGCTTGAAAGTTTTACTTTTTAACCAAGGTACGGAACTTGGAGGATAATTTGTGATATCACACACAAATAAGCAGCGAATAATTACGGAACTATTGCTAAAACACGATTCCTTTGTATAAATTTTTTCATGTGGTATTGCAATTTCCTTTTATTCTGATTTTTTTTTTTAACACGTTCATAACAACGGTTCGACAGTGCTATATTAACAGATACTTTACAT